AGCTTCTTCACGTGTCCCTGCTCTGCAAGAGCTTGTGTGGGGTGGCCCAGGGCTGCGTTAGCTCTGTGCCCGGCTGAGTCAGCGTGCACCAACGAGGAGCATTGCCATACTGTTCACCCTCCAGGTGGGGGTCGGTCAGGCGGTTGGGTAGTGAGACTGGGTGATGTATGTTTCTGCCCCCCACCCCCACCCGTCCCTTTCCGGTATTTCAAGCAGGCAGTAGGCTTTGTGCTTCAAATCTTCAGGTAAGGTGTGGATAAAAGGGGGAGCAGAAGTTGTGAGGTTTCCTGACTTTTCTAGAAGCCCAAGACCAGAGAGGCACAGCTGGGGCAGGTGGAGGTGGGGGGAGAGGGGCCCTTGAAGAAACAAGAAGGTGAGAAACTTCCTCCCACACACAAAGGATTTCTGTAAGTGTGCAGAGCAAGGTCGGGGGGCTGTTTGATTCAAATCCTGCCCCCTCCAGGATCTCTGCAAGTAACACCATCGTGGACAGTTACTTAAACTTCTTTAAGCCTGAAAATGAGACAGTGCTACCTCATTGCCGTGTCCCAACATGCCTTTAGTCCCCACTGTTCTGAGCCACTAATAGTGTTTATGGACTGAGGTGTGGCCCCCCCACCAATTCGTATGTTGAAGCTTTAGACCTTAAACACTTCAGATTGTTACTGTGTGTGGAGCCGGGGTCTTTAAAGAGGTAACAGAGAACAGGGTCATTAGGGTGGGCCGTAATTCAATATAACTGCACACACGCACGGAGCCTGGACGGGCTGTGTGAGGTCACACGTTGAAGACATCCATCCATGAGCCAAAGATAGTGGCCTCAGAAGAAATCAACCCTCTGACACCTTGATCTGGGACCTGTAGCCTCCAGAACTGGGAAAAACCACATTTCTGTTGTTGAAGCCGCTCATCCGTCGCACTTTGTTATGGCTGCTGCAGCAAACCAATAAAGTGCTAAACAAACTGTGGAGGTCCCCAAGATTGGGGTGCACCGAGCTGCCTGCCCTAATTTCAAATATTATTCAGCCTTAAAGAAGAAGGAACCCCTGCCATTGGCTGTAACACGGGTGAACCTGGAGGGTGTTCTACTAAGTGAAATGTCAACACAGAAAGACAAATACTACATGACCAAACTCGTACGTGGAATCTAAAAGGGTGGACTCACAGAAGCGGAGGGTGGAATGGTAGGGGGCTGGGGTGAGGGGCAGGGGAGATGTTTTTAAAGGGCACAGAGTTCCCGATATGCAGGATGAATAGGTTCTGGAGACCTAACGTACACTATGGGGACTTTCATTAATAGCATTCTGTTGTACACCTGAAATTTGCTAAAATAGTAGTTCGTTTTGTCCTTAAGGATTTTATTTATTTTTTTTAGAGAGAGGGTAAAGGAGGGAGAAAGCGAGGGAGAGAAATATTGATGTGCTAGAGAAACATTGATCAGTTGCTTCTCACACTCCCAACCAAACTCCCTCCAACCTGGGTCCGGGCCCACAACCCAGGCATGTGCCCTGACCAGGAATCAAATCAGCGACTTTTCAGTTGCAGGCTGGCGCTCAACCCACTGATCCGCACCAGCCAGGGTGCGAGTAGTAGTTCTTAAATGTTCTCGCCACACAAAAAGAGGTAATGTGGGGTGACGGGTATATTAATTAGCTTGAGTGTGATAATCCAATTTCACAATGTAAATGTATATGAAAACATAAAGTTCTAGCCTTAAATACATACAATTTTAATTTATCAACGATACCTCAATGAAGCTGGGGAAAACCAATCAAACCACAAAGCACATCTATCTCTTCCAGGCCCAATTTTCTATCTTTCCCTATCACCTCCTCTGTCTACTTTTCAAGTCAAGGCCAGAAGGTGCAGACCTTAAATCTTGCCCAGTATCTCACTAGGTCTGTCGAGAGTGAATGGACGTTTGCAGTTAGGTGCTGGGGGGTGATGGTTAGCAAAGTGAATTCCAAGGTCAGACTGGTAGAAATCTTAGACCCTCCCTTTGTAATCTGTTGTGCTGTAACAAACTCACACTTATTAGATTTCATGTTTGCTCTCAGTTTAGGTTTGATTGCCTCTTTGAGTGAATGTGTTTCTTCCCACCGAGGGACACGGGATTCTTTCACTCTGTCGTACGCTTGTGTCTTTCTTCTTCAGGGTGGACCCTGACTGCTGAAACCCTGGCATCTGATGAATTACATGGAATGTGTTTTTGCTGTCGCGCTATTCAGGTTTTCTAAACTTTATAAAGAAGTAACAACTACCTTAGCAGCGGTACGTTGTTGCTGGGATGTTGTCCACGTGACTGGCATGGCGGTTTCTTAGGCTCAGGATCTCATTTGATCCTCCAATGTCCCTGTGAAGTGGGCCCTGTAATCCTCCTTATTAAATAGTTAAGGAAACCGAGGCTTAGACCCAGGCCACGTGATACCCAAGGCCACACAGCTACCAACTGGCAGAGGTGGGATTTGAGCCCAGATCTGGAGGATTAACTATTAACCCACCTCGTTGAGCCACTTACCTCTTTGATTGGCAGATGCATTGCTCTGCCTGCCTCCGTGGTAACAAAGGACTCAGCCTGCCTTTGGGTGGAAAGTAGGGCTGCTTTGCTGCCACCCAGAGGTCAGAGTACAACGCCACGGGGCTCTTGAACTTTGAGCCTCCCCACCTCCACCACCACAGGGAGGTGACCTGAAGAGGTCAGCATGATGCAGGCTCCGGCCGGGGGTAAACTGGAACCCAGCATCTTCTGGGAATGCGAGCCACTGCCTGGTAACCCTTCCTTCTGGAAAGAGGCAGGAGACGGCCCTGCCTCCCTGTGCCTCCTGGGTGGCCTCCAAACACCAGCAAGGCCTGAGGTCATCGGAGCTGAGTGGCTCCGGAAATGCCCTCAGTGCCTGTGGCTTCAGATATCCCGAGGTCCAAATTATAACTTGCATCTGCCCAGTGATTTACGGTTCTGTGTTTATACCACAATGATCTCACTGAGTCCCCTTTGCTCCCTGGTGGGCTGTGACGATCATATCCATTTGACAGATGGGGAAGCAGACCAGAAGAGGCAAGTCGAATCGCTCAAGGTCACAAAGAGTACAGACCTGAACCCAGGTCTCTCTGACTGCCAGTCCTGTTCATTTGAACTAGACCAGCAGTTTTCAAACCTCACCGTGTGGAGTCCTTGGGGGCTGGGGCAGGCCAGAGGCGCGGGCGGAGGGCGGAGGGGGAGGAGGGGGAAGAGGCAGCCAGAAGGGTGAGGCTGTGTCCCTTTCCCCCCTTCACTCTGGGCCACACCTGTATCAGGATTCCGTATAAGGCTGGCTTTGAAAGATTTGTGCTGCTAACAAAATATTTTCAGACGACTGTGCCAAACTGTTCTTTTTCCCTGAGAATTGGATGCAGGCTCCTCTCCCCTGGGACCTTTTCTCTGCAGGGGCAAGAAGAGACCTGCCCTCTGTTGGACGATGTGCTCTATCCGGAGATGGTAGCACAGGGACTGTACAGGGTACTGGCCAGGGAGGCGGCGGCCCCGGGTCCAGTTATTGTGATGTGGTCAAGTTATCCACCTTAGTTTCCCCCTCTGTACAGACGAGGGGCTTGGCCTAGATAATTCCCAAAACCCAGCTGAGCTTAAATACCCTGTGGGCCTGGGCTATCAGGATTCGTTCATCAGATCTTACACAGGCGAGTCACCAGACATCGTAGGAAAACGTAAAATTTTTTAGTGTGTGGATTTTCCTGAAAGTGTATCAGTAGCTTTCATCAGTCTTAAAGAGGACTGTGATATAAAACCTCTGGCTTCTCAGGACTTTTTCTGGCAGAACTGGTAGGAAGTCTCTTTGGGGGGGCGGTATTCAAGTTGTAAGAATGTTATGAGAAAGCTCTTTGAAGAAAGGAAAACAAGGACGACATACAAAGAGCTAAAAAGTGGTAGCTAGGTAAAAGAGTAAGCGCCTGCGAGTTTGCTGACAGTCTTGTTCTAGCCCCTAGACCCAGCCATGCCTGATACCCCTGCCATTTTTCATCAGCATGAACAACTGCTTCTAGTCCCTTAAAGCATTTTCTATTTTGCTCATGACAGAATAAACAATCCATGTGTTAATATTATTGGAAAGGACTCTTGCCATTTGAAAAATTATGAGGGTTAACTTAGGAAAGCAGGGAGAAAAGGGGACTGAGGTGGGAATGTCCCTCTCATGAAGTTTTTGAATTGCAGACAAGAAAAATGTCCCTAGTTTTGTTCTCTGTCGGTTATTGCTTGAGCAAACCGGAGGCTTCCAGAGGTAGCAAAGACCTTGGAATCAACCCCATCACTGCACAGATGGGACCCTGAGCTCTAGGGCGGGGATGTGCCTTCCTGAAGTCGGACGGTAGGGGCAGCAGGCCTGACCCCAGAGCTGAGGTTCCCTTCTCCAAGGTAGGACCCACCTCTGTGTGACTCTCCTCAGCTTCCTTCCCAGGCAGGCTGACCAGTCAGAAGAGCTTAGGAGGGTTCTTGTGCCTACTGTGTTGCTTGGCCACATGGGTCCGTGTCTTATCCAGAAAACTCTCTGCAGCCTGGACTTCTTTTTCAGGTTCTGTGGGCACAGGCAAACAGTGGATGCTTGGCCTGGGGTCACGCAGCAGCTGGAAGGGAACCCACCCATTCCTCTGCCTGGGTCCCATCCCTTTTGGGTGACAGGCACAACGAGGGTCCCAGCCAGGAAGCCCCAGCCAGGATCGGAGCCCTAGAGGTCAGGGCCAGGCTAGACATTGTCCAGTGCTGCCCACAGTAGGAGGACTTAGAATATTGCTGAGCCCAAAGCAGGCAAACAGGATTTATGGGTCAAGTCCAAGGAAGGGGTCACTGGCAGCCACATGGACTGATTTGTACAGCGCTGGAAAGCAGTAATGGATCCCAGGGGGCCCCCCACCACTGTTGTCCATAGGGCAGTGGGAGGGACAGAGAAGAACCGGAAGGGAAAGGAAGCACCAGACACTGCCTGCCACCGGACCGGAAACTACTCACGGGCACAGAGAAGAAATTAACTTTAATGTCCGACTTTGTTTCCAATCCCGCCCAAGTGCCAGCGTTCCCTGTAGGTCAGAGGGGCTTGAGAGGTACAAAGTCACGAGACAAACAAGGCCCCCGCGGGCTCCTGGGCGCGCACTCACTCTGCCCCACACACGCACACATGCAGACCACACGTACACCGCACAAACACACGCACGTGTACCCACGGTTAAATACAGGTACGGAGGGACGCGGGGATATATACACCGAGGGAGAGAGGCGTAATCGCGGCCCGCGTCCGGGCCCCCAGGCTCTCAGCATGCTCGGCCCAGCTTTCCGCTCTGCACCTGGCACCCATGCCCCTGCCAGAAAAGCAGCCGCCCCTCTTCTCGCCCCCGCCCGCCCCCGTTGGCCCTCGGGCCCGGGTCTGCCAGGCGCGGACACACCCCTCCCTTCCCCCGCCCCCACCGAGATTTCCCCCCCCAGGGAAAGGAAGGGGCGCGCGGGGCCCTACAAAGGCCCAGGCGCTAGGGGCATGTTGGTTTTGAAGCCCGGCTGCCCGTTGGCCACGTCGGGCTCGGCCTCGCAGCCCCCGTTGCTAGAGCCGCCGTTGGTCCCGGGGCTCTCGGGCTCGGCCAGGAGCTTGAAGGTGAAGAGCGGGCCTGAATTGTGGCGCCCGCAGCGGCCGGAGGGCTCGGGCAGGCTCAGGAGGGCGCCGGGCGCCTTCCACTCCGGGAAGGCGCACAGCTCGACGGGCGGCTGGGCGCCGCGGCCCAGGTAGCCGGGGCTCGGCGAGGCCGAGGGCAGGGTCCGCTGGCTGCCGCTCAGGCAGCTGCCGCTATCGTCCAGCGAGTCCTTGCGCGACTGCGAGCGCTCCAGCGAGCCGCCGCGCGTCCACGGCCGGTAGGTGTAGGCGCAGTTGCCCAGGCGACGACGCCGGCGGCGACGGCGGCGGGCGCGGCACTGGCACCCGAGGATGCGCAGGAAGGCTCGCTTGAACTCCTTGCTGGAGCACGGGTAGATGATGGGGTTGAGGCAGCTGTTGAAGTAGCCCAGCCAGAACACCACCTTGAACACGGCGTCAGGGGGCTTCAGGGTGGCGAAGAGGGAGCCTGGAGGGGGAGGGGGTGGGGTGGGCGGGGGCAGAAAGACAGCAGTTTGTGAGTAGTCAGGCCCTCTCCTGTGCGTGCTCTACCTGAACATTGCCCACACGAAGGATGCTGCCAGACTCCTTTGCCTGGGTTGCTCGCCTTTCTGTTTCAGAATGAATGAATCCTACGTTCACGTTGAGGGCCAACCTCCATAACTTCCCTTTAGTCCATGAAAGCTTTCCTGCCGTAGCTGAACAGCATCTAAACTCCCATATTTCTAGATTTCTCTAGACCCACCACACAGGGGCAGTGTGAGTCAGGGACTGAACCGCCAGGGGCCTGGGATTCCCGGCGTATTTTGCGCCCCGCCCTTTCCCTCACTTCTCTCTGGGGCCGTACAGTAGCTACTGGAAATAGGGGCCCTCTTTGCCACACTGGCCTGCCCTGGTGGGAGCTGAGAGGCCTATTAATTAAGGAAGGTCCTGAGCCTCTTTGGCATGAAAGAGGGTCGGTGGTGGGGTCCCTTTCTCTGGGCATCCAAAAAGACCTTTGGGGGGCAACGAAGTGGCCAGGAGAAGGGAGCACATATGAACAGGAAATGCGAGATCCTGGAAGCCTGCTTTCTGCTATGTCAGGGCTGTGCTGAGCTCTGTGACATGGCCACAAACTCCCTGTGCATGTCCCTGAGCCTGGCTCCCCTTCTCATGCTTATGAAGTGGTCCAGTGCTCCTTGCTCGTGTCTTAGAATCATGGCTTGCCAGGGCTGGAAACCTCCTTCCTTAATGGGAGCTCCGTGAGGATGGGTGACTTGCTCAAGGTCACTCAGCTGGTGAAGGACAGAAGGAGCACCAGAATCCATTCAAGCTGTCATTCACTTGGTTCCACAAACACTTATTGAGGCATTGGTGGCTAGTGGGTAAGGTCCTGTTCAGAAGTCACAGGCAGGGAGATCTGGCTTCCCAGCTGTGTGGCCCGGGAGAAGCTCCCTGGGCAGCGCAGCTGCAGTTTCCTGGAAAATAGTGAAGGTGGCAGTTCTCTTTTGTGTGGACGAATGAACTTAGGGTCAGTAAGTGCCGGGCACGTTGAGAGCCCTCAAGTGCAGCTACCTGACTGCTTCAAATACAACGACTATTGCTGTCGTCCACGCTGCCGTTACGGCCAGCATCGCTGCTGCAAAGACGAGGAAGGGGATGCGAGTCGTGCTGACCAAGTGCCAGGACTCTTATGTCACTGCTCTTTCTAATACAGACCCAAGCGTGGGTCCTGGTGGATCTTGAACCAGCTGAAATTGTATGCGGCATTCATGCATTTTTCTGGGGGGGAAGCTGCAGCTGTCATCACGGGCTTGAAGGAGTCCGCAGCCCTCACATGGTTAAGCCTCGCCCACCTCAGTCTCTGGCTTCCTAAGCCTCAGTCACTGTACCACCCAGACCGCCTGCTTTTACCCTGCTCGTACCGCCCCGAAGTCCGCTCCCTTTCGGTACCTAAACTTAAAAAAAATGAGGAAGCTTTTTATCACTATTTTAAAACCTGCATTATTTGCTATAAATAGAATGTCCTGGTAGAGAAAAATAACACTCCAGACAGCAGTGGGTCTGAGGTCTGCCCTCGTTTTCAGAAAGGGAGATTCTCGGGGTTGAAGGGTGTTGAGGACTAGCTGGCCCTGCACGGAGAGACGTTCCTCTCTGAGGAACCTGAGGGACTGAGGCCGAAGCGAACGTGGGATAATGTCCTCATTGGAGAATCCAGCCCCAGGCGCATGGTCAGGGGCTAAATAAACATTTACTCAGGGACCGACAGATTGACTGAATACGCGATTCACAGAATGGTGCCCGGTCTGGCTGTCACGGCAAGCTGTCTGCGCACCACTCAGATCTGTACTGAACTGGAGTAGCCGGCACAACCCTGGGGAAGCAGTTGCCGGTGGCCCCACGGCTGCATTCCGATGCCTCCCTTAGCCTCTTACTGAGGCTTTTAAAGCAGGTCAAATGAGACAACACTTCTGAAAGGGCTCGGGAGGGCTGGAAGCTGGACACCTGGGTGGGGGGAGGAGGAGGTGAAGTTTGAGGGGGATGGGTAAAAGCACAAGCAGGTGGTGCGGTGAGCCCACCCCATCACTTGGGCCTTGCCTGCTTTAAGGCGATTTAGAGGGATTGTGAAGTTCAAAGATCAAAAGCTAAAGCTGAGCAGGATCAGCACAGGGAGAAGCATTTCTTGGCTGGACAGGGTCCCAGTGAGTATCCTTAAGAGGCCATTCGACAAATCTGGACAGTGAACACAAGGTCTCTGTGAACTTCCGCTTTTCTAAACCATGGGGCATGTCTGTGGAACACTAGCTACCGTTGAACAAGCTGACTCCGTGCCAGCCGCTGGGCTAAATGCTTAGCCGGCTCTTTCCAGTTCCTCCTCCAACAGTCACCGCTCCCAAGGCAGCCTGGCACGACCGTGCCCTGCCCTAGGGGGCGCCATTCCACACTCCAGTCCACAGCACCCCTTGGTGATTGTGCCCACCCCGCCTGGGTCTGCTGGAGGCCGTGATACTACACCTCCGAGGAAGGGAAGGTGAGCTGCTGCACCTACAGCCAAGCCATGTCTCCTCAGTTTGGCTCGATAAACATGCAAGCCATGTAAAACAGTTGCTGAGTCTTTCAGTACCAGCTTTGTAAGGGAGGTTTCCTTGGATTTGGAAAGTCCCTTCAAGGGTTTTCCATTTTCATTTGCCACTTAACCCTGGAATGAGATCATAAAACTGTCCAACAAATACAGTATCCTTGGGGCCAACAGATTCATGTCAAGTTTTAAAGCAAATGCTGAAAACAATAATAATCACCAGAGCTGCCATTTATAATGAACTAGGAACCAGTTACTAGGTGCTCTGCCTAACACTTCGCTCACACAACCCTGTTTCGTTGTGCCTCATTGCACAGATGAGCAGACTGAGGTTAAAGAGATTAACAAAGTCACGTGTCTAGTAAGTGGTGGAGCTAGACTTAAAATTCAGCTCCGAAGTCCTATCTTACTCATTGCTTGATATTGAGAAAAAGAAGCTTTTATTTATTTTTTTAAGTACTAGGCAATTTCTTCCTCAAATGGGAACAATCTCTCTCTTTGCTAAATTGTCACAACACTTTAACTGAACCTCAAATGTAGCATTTATCACTTTCTACCTTGAGTTCCAGTTGCTTAGGGCTATGCCTCAGGTCCCCTGATTAGAACGTAAGCTTCAGAAAAGAGAGTTCATGTTTGATTTGTCTCTCTCCCCCAAGGACTGAGCACAGTGCCTGACACATGACAGGTACTCAGCCGACATGGGTTACACAATAATAATAGTGAAAAAAAATAAAAAACTGAAGTATGTCAGCCCCTGGCTGCTCAAAGTGATGTTCCTGCAGAGGCAGCGTGGATATGAGCCAGTGTTTGTTAGAAATGCAGAATCTCAGACATCCAGTGAGTCAGACTCTTCTTTGCAATAAGATCCCAGGGTGAGAAGCATGGCCTTAGCCCACATTTCAATTTTACTTTAAAAATGGTTTTTCTGGGTGTCTTGGGATTCATGGATGAGCAGAGGCTGGGCTGAGAGCCACCTCACCATGGGACTGACTTCTTGCCCCAAACTCTTCAGCAGCTTCTAGAGTTTATGGGATCAAATTCAACCTGCTTAGACTGGAATTTAAGACCTGCTCAACTTGGCTGTGATGGTCTGACTCTTTGCAACGTGAGTAGACTCCTCTGGCTCCTAACCCTTTATCCATGCAGTCCACTGCTATGATAAGCCCTTTCCTCTCCCCTCCTCTTCTCCACCCTTTCCAGGCCTGGCTCAGATGCCTTCTTCTCCTAACCACAGCCCACGATGCACAACTCCCTCTGAAGTGTGAAAGCAGGGGGAAGGAATGATTTGGCTGTGAACCTGCCAAGATCCAAGTGACCCTCACACTGCACCTAATTTTATTCTCACAACAGGCAGGAGGGAGGGGTGGGTTCTGTAATTCTCAATTCTCAGTTAACAAATGTGGAAATCGAGTCTCTGAATGTACAGAACTCACCCAATGTCACATAGCTACTAAATGGTAGAGCGGGGTTCACAGCCAGATCCACCTGGCTGCAACCTGGTCAGTTTCTGCAACAGAGAAGATTGCCTCTAAACTCTTGGGACACCTGTGGGCTGAGGGAAGGCTAAAATTGTTTACTTGCTATTTGTAACAGTGTCTTTACATATATTTTCTCTGGTTTTTAAAACACAAGTATCTAGAGGCCAAGAATTTTGAATCACTCTGCCTCAGTTGTTCTTAACCTAACAATACTGATTATGTAAATCATTTCACATCATATAATTTCAGGGTCTCACAGACCTGCTGAATCCCGGCCGCAGGCACCCACAAGGTGTGCAAGTCACCATGTTAAGGGTCTGTGCTATTCTCTCCACAGATTTCTATCTTAAGAGCTATTGGATTGACTTTAAATTTTAGAGTCTGTTTCCCTGTTTCAAGCTCGTTGAGGCCAAGATCTTCTGTGCCTTGGTTTCTCTAGCGCCCAACACAGAGCTTAGCTTACAGTGAATATGCAAAAAGATCTGTTAAGCACATAACCTGCTCTTCATGTATTGTGTTCACGCAGGTGCTGCCTCAGTGGTTGTGGGGTGACCCCCTGCTTGCACTCCGTTGTCTTCTCCTTCTTTATTTATTTAAATGGTAGCACAGGCCAATGCCCAGTTCGGTTCCCATCTCCTTCCTGAAATCTTTTTGACTGCTCCAGGCTCTTCTCCTTTATTTACCACTAAAACAGAGTCCATAGCACATGGGTTGACATGGAAGGTCATTGCTAAAGGACGTGATGTTGCACTGGTTAGGCAGGCAGCGTCAAAGCTCCTTGACGATGGGGTCTGTGTCCTGTTTTTGTAGCACGGGTCTGAGCACATGGCCGTGCCATCAACTACCCACTGATCGACGGACCCATTCCATCTTCCAGGAGGAAAGCTACCTCCCGGCTTAGCCCCGAGTTGAGAGCAGATGGGGTGGTGTGGG